CGCTCTTGTTACCCAGGCTGGAGTGCAATGGCGCGATCTCGGCTCACTGCAACCTCCGCCTCCTGGGTTCAGGCAATTCTCCTGCCTCAGCCTCCTGAGTAGCTGGGATTACAGGCACGCGCCACCATGCCCAGCTAATTTTTTGTAGTTTTAGTAGAGACGGGGTTTCACCGTGTTGACCAGGATGGTCTCGATCTCTTGACCTCGTGATCCACCCGCCTTGGCCTCCCAAAGTGCTGGGATTACAGGCTTGAGCCACCGCGCCCGGCCTCATTAAGTACATCTTAATCTCTGAAATCCTTTCTTCCGCTGATCGATTCAGCTATTGATACTTGAGTATGCTTTACAAAGTTCTCATGCTGTTTTTTCCAGCTCCGTCAGGCCATTTATGTTCGTCTCTAAACTGGTTATTCTAGTTAGCAATTCCTCTAACCTTTTGTCAAGGTTTTTAGCTTCCTTGCACTGGGTTAGAACATGTTCCTTTTGCTCAGAGGTGTTTGTTATTACCCACCTTCTGAAGCCTGCTTCTGTCAATCTGTCACACTCATTCTCTGTTCAGTTTTGTTCCTCTGCTGGCAAGGAGTTGTGTTCCTTTGGAGGAACACAGAGGCGTTCTGGTTTTTGGAATTTTCAGTCTTTTTGTGCTGGTTTTTCCTCATCTTTATGGATTTATCTACCTTTGGTCTTTGATGTTGGTAAGCTTTCAGATGGAGTTTCTGTGTGGACATCCTTTTGGTTGATGTTGATACTATTCCATTCTGTTAGTTTTCCTTCTAGCAGTTAGGCCCTCCTGCTGCAGGTCTGCTGGAGTTTGCTGAAGGTCCATTCCAGAATCTGTTTGCCTGTATTGCCAGCAGAGGCTGCAGAACAGCAAAGACTGCTGCTTGTTTCTTCCTCTGGAAGCTTTGTCCCAGAGGGGCATTCGCCAGCCAGAGCTCTCCCGCAGGAGGTGTCTGTCAACCCCCGCTGGGAGGTGTCTCGCAGTCAGGAGGCACAAGGGTCAGGACCCACTTGAGGAAGCAGTCTGTCCCTTAGCACAGCTCAAGCACTGTGCTGGGAGACCTGCTGCTCTCTTCAGAGCCGGCAGGCAAGAACGTTTACGTCTACTGAAGCTGTATCCACAAGCACCCCTTCCCCCAGGTGCTCTGTCCCAGGGAATGGGAGTTTGATCCATATGCCCCTGACTGGGGCCACTGCCTTTCTTTTAGAGATGCCATGCCAAGATAGTTGGAGCCTAGAGAGGCAGTCTGGCTACAGCAGCTTTGCCAAGCTGCAGTGGGCTCTGCCCAGTTCAAACTTCCCGACAGCCAGCAGCTTTATTTACACAGTGAGGGGAAAATTGCCTACTCAAGCCTCAGTAATGATGGATGCCCCTCACCCCACCAAGTTTGAGCATCCCAGGTCCACTTCCGACTGTTGTGCTGGCAGGAAATTTTCAAGCCAGTGGATCTTAGCTTGCTGGGCTCCATGGGGGTGGGATCTGCTATGCTAGACCACTTGGCTTCCTCGCTTCAGCTCCCTTTCCAGGGGAGTGAACAGTCCAGTCTCACTGGCATTCCAGGCATCACTGGGGTATGAAAAAAAAAGCTCCTGCAGCTAGTTCAGTGTCTGCCCAAATGGCTGCCCAGTTTTGTGCTTAAAATCCAGGGCCCTGGTGGCATAAGCACCCGAGGAAATCTCCTTGTCTGCAGATTGCAAAGACCATGGGAAAAGCATAGTATTTGGGCCTGAGCGCACAATTCCTCACAGCACAGTCCCTCATGGCTTCCCTTGGCTAGGGGAGAAAGTTCCCTGACCCCTTCCCTGACCCCTTGTGCTTCCCAGGTGAGGTGACACCTTGCCCTGCTTTGGCTCACCCTCCGTGGGCTATATCTACTGTCTAACCAGTCCCAGTGAGATGAGCCAAGTATCTCAGTTGGAAATGCAGAAATCACCCACCTTCTGCACTCATCTCACTGGGAGCTGTAGACTGGAGCTGTTCCTATTTGGCCATTTTGCCAGGCACATGGATTATATCATTTCTAAAGTGTCTTCTTGTTTACAATCTTACACAATATAAAAGGGAAATTTTAGGGAATGAAAAACTCTCACATGAGCTTCTTTGACCCCAAGATAAAATAAGTGAATAATAAGACACTAATTGTGTAAGTCAGTGTTCTACTCTATAAGCATAAACATTTTTTTAAATGAGACAATTCATATTGGAGTTAAGAGTGAAGATTAGAACCAGCTACTATTTTATTTAGAATTGCTGTCTATTTTCTTCCCCATGTAGCTCAATCCAATTAATCCTTCAATATCCTGAACAAAGCCTTCCTTCACCATGAAAACCTTAATATACCCAGTTCATAGTGAGTTAGTCCTTCCTCTGTATTTAGAGTTCCACTCTCTATGCCAGTAATTATTTTAACCAAATAGCCATTTGCTGCATTGTGATCTTTATATTTCTTCATATGTCTCACAGCAACTAATAACATTTTACGTTTTGACTATTCAGAGTGCGCTGAGTAAGAACAAAAAATTACAGATTACTTTAAAAACCGGGGAAGGCAAATTTGGTAGAAGCAAGCACAGATAAAGAAAAAAAATAAATAAGTAA